TTTATAGTGATTGAGATAAATGTGCGGTTTCGGTCGAATAGTTTAGATGAGGATGAATAATGACTCAATAAATGACTAACTATAGACTCTTTGTGAAGGAAAGGCACGTGGATGTGTGTCCTCATTGCATTTTTTCTTATTTTTTCGCTCTTGCATTCATAGTGATTAAGTGATTGCATTATCTCGTCATTTTGCAATATATTTGGCTTGCCATTCTAGACATTGAATTTTAGGTGTGATCAATGAGTCGTGTGAAGAGCGTATTATAACAATAAAACTATTATGGGTTGAATTATTAAAAAAGAGGGATGCGGTCCTTTGTCGGGAGAGAGCAGCTGGTAAAAAAGGGGTTGGCTATAGTTAACCCTCGATATGGATACAAAATCAATATCGACCTATCATTAGACGCGTGTCATCCGGTAACAGTTTCTTAATCGGGATATTACAGATCCTTCTTACGAGGAGCCTACATATCTTGAGACGAATCGCGAAGAGGGTCCGGTTCGGAGGACCAATCACCGCTCAGTAGAGGGTACCGTGCGGTCGAAATATATATTCGGATAGACAGGATAAATTCGATACGGTCTATGGACCGATCGGAAGGAAGGGTTCCCTTACATTTAAGATACATATCCGGAGAGATAGGATAAATCCGCCGATCGGATTGACCAATAACAGCGCAGTAGAGGGTTACCCGAATACATACCGGTAAATAGGATAAATTTGATAAATACATCCTGACAGACCAATCACAGCGCAGTACAGAGTTACCAGCTTGTCTGAATATATAAAAAATATATACGAATAAATAGGATAAATTTGACAACAGATGTATTGCGGGTTGCCGAGTCGCAAGAATATACACGGATTTATCGGATAAATTTGGCAACAGGTGTATTGCGGTGTTTCCAAGTCTCACGGATAAATAATTATTTATTTATTTGCACAATCTGGCAACAGCTGTGGTCAAACATACATATGCTATCTACTCCAATCTCATGTAAAAATCAGAAATTTTTGGACAAAAATTGCATCGATACAATCTTTAAAAATAATTAAATCGCTTCAGTCAATTTTGCAACCTTCGAATTGAGTTACGTCCTTTCGTCCGGGAAAAAACGAGGTATCCAAAGCTCGATCATTCTTGCGTGGAATTGGAGAGCGAGTCTTTCAATGAAAAATTCACTCCGTTCATTGTGGATGTGTAATCCAAGCGAGTTACAAAATTAGATAGTTTTGAGTAAATTTGGCGTCAAAGCTCAATGCGTTAAAGATTACGCCGGCACAAAAAATGTTTACTATTTCTTCCGATTTTCTGCGGCACCTGTCTTAGTTTCTTCGTGCTCGAGTTTTCCATCGAACAACAATTCGAACCGGTAATCATCAAGAGCATATGTACGTCGAATCATCCAAAATTGTTTTGCCTCGGGAAGCGTGTCACAATCGAATTCGATCAAGGTATCGACTGTTAGAGTGCTGGTTCCGATTTTCTAGCTGTCTTTGAAATATACGTATCATATTTGTAAAAAAACGTTTATCACTACTTTTGGTACTATGTTTTATCTCCCAATTTGAGTAAAAAAGAAAGAAATCGTGTGGCTCGCCCACATTGTAGATATCTTCGAATGCTAAAAAAACTTAATCTCGTTACTTGATCCTAATTTTGTCTTAATATCATAAAGAAAAAGATGTTTTAAACCTATGCACTATAAGAGCGTGTGCTACATGAAACAAGAAAAAACAAGAATCCATAACCTCCTTCGGAAATCCTAAATATTTCAATTTGTGAACCAAACATGAATCATTCAGAAAAGAAAAAACGAATGCAAAAACTCGAGACTCGCGCTACTGGGGTAAAGAAAAAGAAGAAAAATGCATTTAAGACCGCGCAAATCAACTGAAGTGTAGAGACATAATCCCGATCGAAGGTGCCACACAAAAATGATTCAGAACAATCGAAGCTTATTCTCCAACGGTCGGAGGAGAGGGGTAGCGGGGTATCCGAGCGGAGAATCATTCGAGAGCTTTGAGATCGTGAGAGGTGTTTTATTATATTTTTTTCTCTTCGTCTTGTAACACTTTTGTTTTTGTGTTTTTGTTGTGCTTTCGGGATCTCTCGATTGAGTGCTTCGAGTGGTCTCGATTGTTTACAGATCACTCGGGATTAATCCGTCAAGCATTCGGGACTCGAGGGATGGGGCGGGGGGGGCGGGGGGG